CTTAGGGGAAATAAATTCCAACCTACTTTTTATGTTTACTAGAATTATTTGATGAAGTAACATTTTTTGAATCATCTCACAAAAATATAAATGTATCTTTCAAAATGGTTTTCAACTCTGTGAATGTAAGCCACAGAGCAGTAGTAAAGAACTTGTAAGCAGGAAGAAGAGAAAGTTTTGTGTACATCGTAGACCTTCCATATTACTATGGTTTTCTTTTAAATAATCTTGCAGACTTGAGGAAGATAGCTATAAACAACATTAGAGTAATCATCCCTCTTTGAAACCTCAAGATACATTGGTACAAAGCTGCAATTTGAGGGACTAGATGGTGGACACTGGTACTCATTAAAAGGAGAGAGAAAACTAGATTTGCTTTGAAAGGACTTCTATAGAATTCAGTCTCTGTGCTTATACCAATACTGAACACACCCCCCCCAGTAAAGCTCCAAGATAGTAGAGCAAACATTAACAGTGAAACAAAGGAACCATAGACCAAAATGCATCCAGGATATTTTATTTTCTCCTGAGAACTTTGGAAAAGAAATCGAGGGAAATTATAAATTGGGTTTTTTCCCCTCCTATGTGTGTAAGAATGATTAAGTAAAAATAACCCCCCATTCCTTATCAGTCATTCACAAAATGTTCTGAAAAAAACCAAGACAGACAAGGGCTGCTTACAAAAAGATTCTTCATTGTATTCCCAGAGCTTGTGGAGTTGTATTTTATCCTCTATTTAGCAAAGTCCCTGAGATGGGATTTACTGGTGATTCCTGATAGTTCCCTGTATCAGCATAGTCATCATGAGCAAATTCTAAGTTCTGGCTCTTTCACCAGAAAAACCTTTAACAGCTGAAATAGCATGGGGAGATATAATGGACTGATTCTCTTGGCCAGGTTGGATTGGGCCTTGAGCAGACTGGTCTAGTGGAAGGTGTCGCAGGGAATTGAGACTAGATGATCTTTAAGGTCACTTCCTACCCAAACCATTCTGTATTTCTTGTATTGCCACAGTTGGTGCTGAGAAGATCCATGCTTTTATAGCATGGGTGATCATTGGATAGACGCTGGAAGCCAGATATTCACCTGATGCATTCCAAGAGAATTCTTACTCAGGTTTGTCTAGAGCAGAGCTAACCTGAACATCTCTTCAGTTAGTTCAGCTTTAGTTTAATAAAAACAAATTCAGTTTTTCCTTTGGAATGCCCTTCCCTGTTAATGGATCTTTCCCTTTCTACCTACCAGGGGTTTACTATTTGAACAAGGAAGGAGAATACCACAGGAGACCATTTCTAACTTGTATAAAATGTAATTTAAAAATTTGAGATGGCAAATTTCTGTTCTGTGCGAGACTAAAGGTCTATTTATACCAGTATCTCTTTCCAATCACGGTTAATAGAAATGCCTACACAGCAGAGTGCAAACTCTAGTGGCATTATTTCAGTTACTTCACTGAAATGCTCTCTCAGCCTCTACCACTTGTAGTGCAGTTACTCTGAATATACATTTTAGTATTTAATAGGCTCAGATACATTTTTTTCCTTTACATCTAGACACTTCCTGCAAACCTTGTGATTTCCTTCAGCAGTGAACTCTTCTTCACTAATTATTAATCTGTAACAATTTGCTTTCACACTGCTTCCTGCTAGTTTAATTTCATATACCTTCATTCTGGCACTGGAAAGTTATGTGAACAACCAATTCCTCTTTCTTCTCCTTATATCCTTTCCACTTTTCTAGATCTCTAATCATATTCCATACATGTAGGTCTTTACCAAAACTCATAACAAATAGCATTTGAAAATTAAAACTAACAGTTTCAGTAGAGTAAGATTTATAATAGTGCTGATTAGCAGCCAGCACTAGAGAGAAGAGAAGCACAATTTGTATCATCATTTGGCATTTTAAACAATGCCAAAGCTGTCATTTAAGAGACTCTAAGTCTTTTAGAAATATGTAGACTAGAGATAAATACCAACACTCCTTTTATATTAATGGAAAATTGTTCTTAGTAGAAGTAAACCCAGAAAGCAGGATAGAAAGTTATAGTCTTGAAAGACTGATTAGCCTCATTTGTTAAATCATAAGCATTTAAATGTTTTTGTTCAAACAATTTTTTTCTGACCTACTTTATAGACGGATAGTTCCATTTGCAAGTCTTGCTGAAGCCTGAGGGTTAGAAATAGCATAAATGTATTGTTCCAGGAATCTAAATAAGTCTGAAATGCAGCTAAAACAAACCCCATAAGCAATACAGCTTCACAGCTCTTCAGCTCCCAGCTTTAATTACCTTTCTGACAAAAATTGTTCAGAGTATTAAGATATTTCAGGAAAAATACTGACATCTGTCTTATTCCTTTGGTCATGAAATTACTTAGGGTTTATAGTCCTGTCGAGTGAGACAGCCAGTGGCAGCAAGTCAGGGGAAGCTGAGAACTCTTAAAGAGTGAATTTGTTTTTCCCTTGGTGTGCCTCCAGTTAGCATGCCATGAGTGTTATGGGTTTTGCATGGGTTTTTTTTTTTTGGCCATTGACTCCCATCTTCACTGTTTGATTTTAATAAGATGACCTGTAATTAATTTTTTCCAAAATAAGGCAGAAAACGGGACATTGTAAAAGGGAAAACTTTGCCATCCAGGTGCTACCAAACTGAAAATTAAAATACACTATTAAAACCTGGCAAGCCAACAGAGCCCACTGGCTCCTCATCAGTGATTACACCACACCCACTTTGCAACAGAGGTTTCAGTTAGTTACAAATAATGATTTAGAAATCCTGAGTCACAGACAGTAAGTCTGCCCAGACAAAGATCACAGTATGGCAGCCTCAGAGGCCTCTAAGGTTTGTTGCTGGTGTGCCAAGCAGCAAATAGATTCTTCAGCTGCCCTTCAGCAGATGCTGCAGGAAGCATGTGAAAGCTGCCAAGGCAATGCAGAACTGCGACAGTTACAAGTCCACAATCCTGCCAGCTCTGCAGTGAATCACTGGGCAGTCCAGCTGCAGTGGTAACAAAAGCTGACACGTATGCGCATCTGCAAAATTAAATATCACTGGGGCTAGTTACCTGGCTGAATAAAAAGAGTCTGGGCTTGAATTCACAGCCTTTTAAAATGGAGTTTGTTTGTACTTCACAGCCTTTGTGAAGCATGGCCATTTTACCCACTGGAACATTAGATAACAGCTGTAAGCCAGTTAAGATGCAATCCACGAATCATCCATGCTGCTGAGTGGAAAAAAAGGCAAGCAGAAAACTTAGATTTAAGGTCACAGGACTAGTACTGTTTGAGTAGAATACACCACATACCATATATATTATCAAAGAATTATTTCTGGAGCACTAGAACATTCATGCATACTACTTTAAGCATTGGTGTGGATGCATAGCATGAATATACTACAAGATATAAGCCATCAGTTTAAAATAGCATTTGTTTTCAGACAAAGAGCTGTCTAAACACTCCTACTGCTACTCCCTCACATCTCCTTGGGAGCCAGCATCACCAGGCTCTAAATTGTTTCTTGCATCTGAGTAGAAATCACACTGACTAGTGCAAGGCCTGTAAAGGGCTGACTAGCATGATCTTGGGAGCACCTATCAAGTATTAGCCAGTCCCAAAAGAGTGCCATCTGATCCTGAGGTCATGAATATTTCTTCATCAGATAAGCAGCAAAAGACATAGTTAAGCCTGTCAGCAGAATTGGGTATTAAAAAACTCCATGCTTGAGGTAATTCCCTCCCTAAGTTTATTCTTTGAGGTTCTGGTGCAACAGAGATTCTGTGCAGCACAAAAGCCAAATAAGAATTTCTATCCCTTATTTTCTCAAAGGGCCTAGGGTAGAAAGGAAATAAAAACTTGGCATCAGAGTGGTTTCTTTCTCCTAACAGCTTGGGGTAAAGGCTGCAATTACACTAGAGCTTTAACAAGTAAGCAAGTGTTATTAAAAATAACAGAAAAATCAAGGATCAGTTGGGTAGGGAAACATCAGTACTCCTCACTGAGGGCAAACAGCATAACCTCAGTTACAGGTCCGACTAGGTAGGCGTGAAATTTGAATGTAGTCACAGGAAATGCTACTTTTATCCATGTAGGTTACTCTAGGACACAGACAGAATAACAGCATGGGAGAGGAGGCAAAAGACAAGTCCTGTCTGTCCAATCCCTCCACCCTTTATTAAAGAAAAACAGGTAGGTTTTTTTTTTTTTTAGTTTCTCTGCCTTTGTCACTCACACTATCATTCTATTTGGGAATAATTCGAGATTACTAGCATCATATTTATTCTTTTCACATGGTGATATTAGCCTTTATGGGCATTTAAAAAAAAAATCAATTTTTGAGCTATCCAGCTCATTTAAATCAGTCTATTTCCATTATTCATAAGATAGCTCAGCAGAGACCTAGTTTTATCATCTCAGTTCTCTAAAGAGACTTCTCTGTAGTCAGTTGGCAAGGTCTGTATCAACTGTAATAGAAGCCATCAGTAAGAAGTCAGGAAACAGGGCACACCATCAAAACCTTTTGTTTCACCTTCAAGATCCGTCTCTCCAGCTCCAGGTCTCCATAATGGACTCAAAAAATCTCCACAGGAAAAGAAGGGGAGGAAGGGGAAGCATCGCATCGATTCACTGCTTTAGTTTTAGTCCTCAGTCATGCATTTGAAGAGAGGAAGATCTGAGGAACTGCCTTGAAACTTCAAGTCAGTACATGGACTTGATACAGCTCTAACTATATTCCTTTACACTTTGACAAAACCAAATCCAGCCAAAAATCCAGCTGCTGGAAGAGAATCTCATGCTTATGTCCACATCACATATATGACATTGACAGGCTTCACAATCCTGCAGAGTTTAGGAGCTGGGCAGCGATAACTGGTGTGCTATAACAGCACTGGTGCATATATGTGCCCATGTTAAGCTTTTTTGCTGTGTATTGATTGAATACAAAAAGTCTCAAAGTGCAATTCTATGAAATTTATTACTTAAATAGTGGATGTGCTAGTTATAAAAAGGTGACTGGTGTTAAATATTTAATTCCATTTTCATAGCATCCTCGGTCTTTACAGTGTCACTTCTTACCCCTTAAGAGTGCAGAGCAACTTACAAAATATGCAATAATAATTGAATTTTGGATTATGCAAAACAAACCTTTGATACATTTTTTCCCCCCTCCTGCCCCAATATTTGCAATTATCTTCTCTTACAGAGGGACTTTTTTGTTCCACGACCTAAAAGTAAAAAAAAGAAAATAAAGAAAGACTGAAGTATGCATTCTGCCTCCAAACAATATGTCAATTTGCTTCTAAAGAAAGCTAGACATAAGTATTGCCTTTTCCTACTGCAGGCATTGATGGTCGATATTACAATTATGTACTCGACTTCCCAGCAAGCATAAACTCCACATGAGTAGCATTGGGCTTCAGAATATCCCAGTATAACAGGTAAGAATTCCATGTGAAACTCATAGCACATTCGCAGTCTGTTCTTGTAACTACTATGTTGAATGTATCCAAGAAACATCAACTGTTTCTGGGACAAATAAATATTTTGGGATTGTGCAAGTTTCCTGGTTACTTCTACTAAGAACTGATCAGCAATTAAAGAAACAATCTGGCTTCAGGACTGACACCAAATTTTCACTAATAAGACACTTCAGTCTAAGTTTGTTTCCAACCTTGCAAATACAGGGAAGTGCAATCCTCTTTTTAATATGAGAAAGAGACTATTTTTTTTACTCGTGTTCCCAGATGGAATATTCAAGTTCACTTTACTATGCTAGCTTGTTCTTTTCCAGAAAGAAATCTGATCTTTTAGGTAGCTTCCTGTATGTACAGACCCCTTTTCAATTTATAACCTTTTCAGACTCTCACACAAATACACAAAAGCATAATTATTACTTAATGTGATTTTTCCCCCATTATTTTTCCCCATCTTCCTCCAAAGTAGCAAGAAGTTCCTACTCCATAAAGTTCTTAAGAATTATCTATATGCATTTGTGTTGTATCAAAATATTTTGGTTGAGACAGATCTGTAGCTTAAAGAAAAGGATATACTGCAAAGTGACATAGGACCCAGCACTTTAAAAGCATAGAGCAGTCTGAAGAGCAACTAGACTAAAACAGTAGGTTTTGGTGTGGATTTCCTCCCCCATCCTTACCTTAAGCAAAGACAAGAAACCTAACCTGGCCAAAGCTACACTGGTATTCATAGCAAGGTGACTAAGTGCACAAAGTTTAGCTTGCCTTTTTTTCCCCACCCCTTATCTTATCCACATACGTAGCATTTGCTGTTATTTCGCAAGCTGTCCAACATCCTTGCAGTTCAAACAGAGAAAAATTAATCCCTGAGACAGTAATGAAAAAATACTGGTAACAGTTATTTTTGTAGCTTGTCACTGTATACTAACCTTGGTGTATACTGTATTTAGGCATCTCCCACACTACTTCTTCCACCTCAAGTCTTGTGTCCCTGCGTTTTGAAGGTGGCTTGCCTATTCTTTTCTTCTTTGGTTTAACCAAAGGTGGGTATCCTAAATAGCAAGATACAACTGGTGTTATTTCTTCAAGACAAATTTAACCTTGTCTTTCAACAACTGGCCTGTGATGTTCCTCTTTCTCCTTCCCTTCTATGTGCCTATTAGCTGATAAAATTGACTCTACACATGTCAAGCAAGTCTTGTATGTCTACAATATTGAATCATTGTCTAACCATAATTCTGGATGCATTGTATATTGGGTCATAATTTGGATAGGTGTTAGTATGGCAAAAAAGTACCCAATGAGAGTTGGATAATTCTGCTCTAGCTCACTGTCTGTCTAAGTGTTCAAGGCTAGTTGATAGCTGTCCAAGTGATCCAACTCATTCACTGTCTTTAGAAAACTTAATCCTTCAGACCTGTAAAGTTATGCACCACAGGTACACTCTTCAAGAAGTCAAATTTAGCATATGATATTACTGCTAAAGCAATATATCTATATCTCTAGCCAACCCCCCTTACTTGCAGGAGCTTAAATTTAAGATTAATTTGAAAAAACAAGTCCTAATATAGGCAACATTTTAAAAAGGATGTGATTTTACTATCACTTCTGAGGTATCTGTTGGCATGAACAGCATTCAGAAAACACTGATTCCTGCTTCCTAACACTGTGATAGCTTCTTCAAACTACACAGGCTGGAAAAGGAGGAGGAGAAAGCAAAGAATAACACATAGACCAAACATCCTCAGTATGGTGGACCATCTGTGACTTCAAAGAGATAGAAGAAACATGCTGAAAGTTAAAAGTAACAAAATTATTTTAGAGCTATTATCATACTTTTATGAATTGTTGTAGAGGAGCTAAGAACAGTGCTGCTAAAGTAAAATGTTTTAAGCTTTTATAGAGCACTCTAGAATAAAAAGGACCCCTACAACACTGAAGTCTGTGGATAGAAAGCCTCCAATGCAAAATGCAAATAATCCCAAACCCCGATATGCTTAAGCAAGAAAGCAATGCAGAGAGAGAGCTCTGAGGAATACACTCTAAAGAATAGTCTACTAGGCTGTTGATACAGGAAATCTGATACATATTATCAGTGAACTGAAGTGAAGCGAGTCAGTCTGTTCTGAAAATAGCTTCACACTCCATTATTTGATAGACTGATCCTGAGATACTTGAAGGCATGTGACCCAGGAGAGTAGCACTACAACAAATTCTATAGCTGTTCCAGGCCTTTTTAGCCACCAGCGTGCTTGTAGCAAGTGTGGGTAAAGCCCTTCCCACATCTTTGTTCGCAAAGCCTAGCCATGATGATGATACCAAGAAACACTCTTAAAAAGCATCCAAACCAGATCTGAACTCCAAGTAAATATTAACTGTAAAGAAAAAACATTCTGCTTCAGGAGTTAATAAGAAGGTATTGAAACTATCTAACCTTTTACTTTGCTAGAATATTTGATTTCTTCATCTTTTCCTTGACGAGATCACAATGATTTGCACTCAGTCAGCCTTTAGCAGCATCAGGGCAACTGTTGGCCTATGCTAGTTTCCCTGATCATTTGCCTATGTAGCTACCACATCACTCCCTATATGTTTTACTCAAACATAAGATCAGAAGATTAGAAGCCACCACTGCATATGCACTCAAGAGAAGCATTATCTGGGTAAAGATTTAATATTAGAGTTTATGGCAGTAACAGCTTTACATAAATAAAGGCTTCACTTGGCCACGTCAAAGCATTTGATGCTTTGATTTCCTATAATGCCTTTAAAAAAACCCAAAGTACCTATAATGCATTCTTATTCCCCTGCTAGGGTTTGACAAGGCTGTAAATATGCCCAAGATGTACTGACTGAAAGGCATTTCATCAATATCAGACAACAAGAATTAGTTTTATTATTTTCAAACCTCATCCAAATATCATATGCTTGCTATTTTGTACCATATCTTTTTGAATGTTCCTTAAGAACAAAAACACATTGAGGAAGTTGTACCTTGGTCTTTGCTCTTGGCTGGAGGTAAGAGACTACCATGTATTTGGCTACTGAATTTGGGTTTAGCACCACTTCTAATCCAGTACTCTTCAGGCAGCATCCCCACAGTCTCCCTTAGCAGCCTTCCTAATTAAAAAAAGGAAAAAGTTGATTTAAGGTCAGTATTTAGTTTTTCTAATATACTGTTTGATCCACAAGCCAGAATGCAAACCTAGCTACTGGATCTAATTGTAGGAGTCTATTGAAATAGAAACAGTTTTCTGAAGGCCACACTTGACAAAAATAAGTCTACAGATTTTGCAGAAAGAAAAAGTTTAAGAACAGTAAGCCTGTTATTAAAAGTAAATATAATGGTTGTCTTTCATAATATAAGACTATACTAAACATCAGCCACCTACTAAGGTGCCCATATATCTGCTTATTCTCACCTTAGATTAATCTAATTTCTAACATCTACCTTTGAGTAAATAAGATATTCTTTTCCAGGTCAAATTTAATAGTTTCAGACTGCTTTTTCTGAAAATACAGCAAAACTTTTGTTTCTAAAAAAAAACAACAGCTGCTATTAAAAAAAAAAAAAGTAACGGTTTGACTCCCCTTCTGCAGAGAAGTTATACAGGGTATATCCACTGGATTATAATGAACTTAATCCTGTTTAGTGCACCTAGCATGAGCCTGTGATAGGAGAGTCAGACTGTTTGTATAAACTTAAATGCAGAGCTTCCAAGATATTAAGCACCAGTAAACATGTAGTTCAAGTGACCTTAAGCTTTTCAAATTAACAAATTGCCACTAATGCCAGAAAGTGAAGTATATCAAATCTGACTCAAAGGAGAGTTTCTGCACTGTTCTCTGGTGGTTGTGAAGATGCAGAACCCTTATGCAATAGGTTAAAAAATGCAGCAAACTCCTTGTGCTTGAAAAAAGTATTTCGCAGGACATCTGGCTCTAAGCCAAACCTAAAGCTACAACATCCTCTAATCTTCCCACTGGTTCAAGCTACAATTTGCAACTGCAATTAGGTGTTTTGTGTATGCTATTAAACAGCACTTTGTCCTCAGCAATTAGCTTACCTCCCAAGAATTTCCGTAGCATTCGCTGGTGCTCAAGTCCTTCTCTTCTTGTCATAGGCCTCTTTCTTCCGTAATACCCATAGTCACTATATACAACTTCATCTTGTTCTCTCTCCTTTGGCTTGTAAACTACACCAATATTTTCAACAAGCCCACTCCTAGTTTTCATTTTCTCTTGAGCAGGCCAGCTAATTAATTGTGCTGGTACGGCATTTTTAGGTGGTTTCCAAAGCACTCTCCGGCCAACTTGGTAGAAGCTTCCTTTATTTGGTGTCAAAATGCCATATGGAAGGGTTTCTTGAAAGAAATACTCCATTTCATCCATGTCATCATCCTCATCCTCCTCATCCTCTCCATCTTCATCCTCCTCTTCACCCTTCACATAATATTCTTCTGAGTCCTCAACTTCTGACATACTTTTAGCTGCTTTTTTGTTGAGAGAATTGATTTCTTTCCTACTAGAAGATCTTGAAACAGCTCCCAGCTTTCTACCTTTACTGGAAGCCTCTTTAACCTTAGTGGCTGAAGAATTGTCATCTTGATCATTCAAGCTGTTCATCTGCTCCTTTTCTACCGCTTCATCTTCGTTAAGGGACCCACCACTTTTAATTTTCTCTTTCTCCAAGCCATCTGTACTTTTCTGAGAAGTATACATGCTTTTCTGAAGCACATAGTCAGGGACAAAATAAGACACTGGGGCATTATCACTTGATGAGCCTTCTTCTCTAGAGGACATGTCATCAGAAGAAGGACTGATTACACTTTGACACTTCCTTTGTGGCAAACAAATGTCATAGTTTGTAGCATCCTTCTCAATTGATTTGTCACACCAAATACTTTTACCTGTCTGGCTTTCATTGATTGCTCTGTGGCTTAAACTCAGTTTTTTCTGCTGAAAACTCAAGTCACTCATTACCTCCATATTAGATGGAAGTAGTCCTGATTGTTGAATAGAGCCTGCAGATTTTTTAGTGCTAGATTTCTTAGCTATTACCACATCCTGTCTTACCACTGGTCTATCTATGCCAACAGATCTTGCCAGCTCTGTGATTTGTACTGCCATGGTTTCACCTGGGGGGGATTTTACCTGTTGACTTGTATTTGCTAGCTTTTCTGCATCCAGCTGCACTTCGTTATTTTGGACATCTTTTTCTTGCACAGCTTCAGCACCCTGTTTTGTGGGGACAACAGCTTGTCTCTCATCTAAGGAAGCTCCTGGCACCATTTGCCTCCTTTCATGAGGGCCATATATCATGCCTTCACATGAGCTAACAGAAAATAAGTCACATGGCACTATGTTCTCTGGGACTGATTTACCACTTGCCACATCATACAAAGGGATAGTTTCTTTAAAGGACTTCCACAGTTGAATAGCTGGAGAGCCATTTCCATATTCTATCCTCACTTCTTCCTTCTCAAAGGCATAGCTTCCAGTAGGAAGATTTCTATACTGTGTAGAGCTGGCAGGGTCCTTGTTATGAAACTCTCTGTCTACCACAGTGGAAGATCCAGATGAATCTTGTTTCTCTGAAGTACTTTCAGTCTCTGTACCTATACCAGAAGAAACACAGGCCATATTTCCTGCATCACAACCTTTCGTTTCTGTTCGGACATCTTGATGCTTTTTTTGCTTGCTTTCAGGCTGTCTAGGATCAGTCTGTGTTTCTTTTGTCTCCGTTTTTTTCCCAGGGGTATTATAGTGTCTAAATCTTGTTGCATGATAAAACATAGGGGAAGGTAGGGCAGCATTAAAATAAGGCCTTCTGTTAATTCTTGCATGCATTGGATGCTGTGGAACAAGAAATCCAGGGTACTCATGGAGCGCAACAGAATAAAACGGCAAATATGGATTTCCGCTTCGGAAGCCTAGACATTGGTGATAAAAAGACAAATATATTTTCTCTCTGAAATAAGTCATCCTGATAAATATTTACTTGCATACACAGGGACAGCTACAAGATCAGACACATCGTTAAATAAAGCACTCCACCTTTCAATGCTTGGAAACAAATCTGGTGCAAAAACTCAGAGAGAGTTTCTTGTTATGGAATAGCTTATCTGGACACCTACACTTTAACCAGAGCTTGATTTCATTCCTTGGAACATTCACCACTTAGTTTTCTGTACCTGTTTTTTTTTTGTTATTTCATGGAATATTGCTGTAGCGTTATCTTTGAAAAAGACAGCTCCGGATAGAAGTTAACGTAAATATAGCGCTTACAAGATGTATTTACAATACTTCTCTTATAATTATTTTTTAAATAATTTTTTAAGCTTACATATATCCATACATTGTGTATGCACGTATGGAACTCATATATACACGTGCATATTAATTGCTAGGGATGTTCTAGAGCTCTGTGTCTGCAGGATGACCATTACTTAATATTTTGCTTAGCTTCCATTCTCCAGGAACAGATGCTTTCTACCACAGAGGCTACATATTTAAGTAATACTTAATAAATCAGATTTTTGACAACTGAAGCATTACATTAATTTTCACTTAAGCTCCCAAGAATCCCATTAACATAGATACATATTTGTTTCCTCTGCTCTAGCAGTAACTTACTAAGCAAAGCTACCACAGAGAGCTCTCATTTACCTTACCTGGAGCAGGTACATAATATGGACTGTATCCATGGCTGAGGTACCATGGATTTGGATAAGGCTGTTGTGCTGATGGCTGAGCATAAAAAAAGGGTCTTGAGTGGCTTGTGGAATATGATCCACTTTCTGAAGTTGAGGAAGTATTCATTTTTCTTTAAACACTGAAAGAGATAAAGGATCATTATCAATCACTTAAAAACTGCACAACCTAATGATTTTATGCTGTCAGAATTTAGCAGACATTCCTCTCCCAGCCCAAAGAAACCAGATTCTTCTGAAAGAAAGCTACTGTCTTCCAAACAGAAAGTAGAAGACTGACATTACTATCAAGGTCAAATATTTCAGTTGTCCTTTGCTAAGCTAGCTTTTATATGCAGCTTTCAATATTAGTCCTTCAAGCCAGCCTTATAACGTGCTTTAAAGACACAGGACAGTCATAGAGCTTTAGTAGTCTTAGATGCATGCATCCATAAGTANCTTTAGTAGTCTTAGATGCATGCATCCATAAGTACCATCCCAGCCAATTAAAAGAAAAAGCCTCCAGTCAATCAGCCCTGAGCAAAAGGCCACCAAAAAAAAAAAAAAAGGCAACAGAAGGCTTCACACTATCAGACATTTAATGTTTCAGAAAGGAAACACTTCTTAATGCTAATACATATTGTTACACATCACAATAAGAATTCTATTAATTCAGGATTTGTACTTTATAATTTATTTAAGAACAATGATAGCTGACATAGTAAACCAAATATTTCAGTGACACCACGCTTCCTACGCTTAAACCAAATGATAGGTAACAAAAACAACCCCACCAAAATCCTTATGTGTAAGTTTGCATTCAGAATCTTAAAAAATTCACTAGATGGAACTTCCTCCCACACTTATTTCTTCAGTTAACTAACACACTAATCTCAGCCCATTCCTACCCATGCAAGTGATACAACCCTATCACACATAGGTTATAAAAAAGAATATAAGAAAACAGAGAACACAGAAGATCTGGTGACTGCACAGAACAATAATAATAAAAAACCAACACCAGCTTAAATCTGTGGAGAATTTAAGCACTTTAAAGTTATAGGAAAATTAATTCAAGACCTGTTACAAACTAGCACACCCTTCAGCCTAGAGTTTCAGAATACTTTTAGGAACACTGGAGCCCTCTTCAGTTTCCATGCAGGGTGGCCTGTCCAGCTCTTGAAAGCATCAAAAAACCTACACACTCTCCTAGGCCAAACCCCCCAGAATTATTTTGACCTTTCAGAGAGACAGTAATGTAGGGAAAGAAAATAACCCACAAAAACAATCCCCCCCCCCTCCAAAAACTAAGCTATTCCTGCCCCCTTAGAGCCCCTCAAAACTAAGGTTGCTGCTGTTCACAGCCCAGGAAGAAAGTAACCACGTTCTCTGCTTACCCTCTTTATGGCAGGCAGCTGCTACTTGTCCACTCCTCCTCCCACCTGAGGCTTATTTAGCAGTGACGCAGGGGACCTTTTTCAGTCCATGTGTGGGAGGAGAGTCAAAACATGAGGGTAGGAATAATGGTAAAGGCCTTCAGCTGGTGTACAGAAAGCTGACAGTCTCATCTTGCAGATGTTTAAGCTGCATCTCTAAGTGAATCTGGTATTTCCCTTTTATATGTTGGAACTTACATTAAAAAAAAGAAGGGAAGTATTACCAATCTTCTGATTAAATCTACTGTTAGAGACACTTCTTGTAGGAAAAAAAATCAGACAATACAAGGCCAAGTTTATATTTGTTTCCAAGGTTTGCCAGTTGTTCAGTATGGAGTAAAGGGAGCAATGCTCTTCAATCCTAACATGGCTAAGTGGGCTGAGAAATGTAATGTGCTTTCCATATGAACAGGAGAAGCACTTATTGCAGTACAGTGTACTCCACCGTGTATGACAGGAATTCATGAAATGTGAAGTTGCAATTTGACTCTGTGATGGGTCTTTACAGGAGATGAGAATCTGAGTTGCTACTCTGGAATACACATCCAAATACACGCACATCTCCAAATACAGTGCTCAGGTACTGGGGCAGGTGGCAGGAGAAGAAAGCACAGTGCATGAGCTGTGCAGGCAGGTGAGTGGCTAAGGAAAAACAAAGAGGTACGGATGCTTAGAGATTGTTTTCATTTCTGTGTTGGGAAATTCACAAAACTTCTGGTTTTTTTCTTACTATAATGTTCAGATTAAACATGTTCTTTGCACCAAGACACAAAATATAAAATGCCTGGGAAGGATGAGTGATTCAATCCTCGCAGACCTCCCCAGCCAAAGCTTGTCCTTTCCAGTGATGGCAGCACTTGGACTTAGTGCAACCAGCCACTTGTAGTGACAGGACAAGGAGTAATGGGTACAAACTGAAAGAGAGAAAATTTAGGCTAGATGTTAGGAAGACATTCTCTGCTGTGAGGGTTGTAAGAAACTGGAACAGGCTGCCCAGGGAGGTTGCTGGATACCCTATCCCTGGAAGTGTTCAAGGCCAGGTTGGATGGGGCTTTGAGAAACTTGGTCTAGTAAAAGGTATCCCTGCCCATGGCAGGGGGGTTGGAACTAGATGATTTTTAAGGTTCCTTTCAACCTTAACATTCAATGATTATATGACTCATGTCAGATGTTTTAAATCCCCAGCTCCTGCATCCATCATACTTTCACCTTTTGGAAGCGAAACTCCTAGCTTTTCTTTTGGTGAGTGGACCCAAATGGAAATAAAGAAAATAAATGACACTCACTAGCTTTTAAAAAGTTGCATTTCTCAGGATTTTCCTTTCCCTCGGACCTCCCATCAGCCTTCAGAGTCAGAACCAGTCACAGAATCAGAATATTCTGAGTGGAAAGGGACCCACAAGGATCATTGAGTCCAACTCTTAAGTGAAGGGCCCATATGAGAATAAAACCCACTCCTGCCTCCCATGCCCCTGTCACTTCCTCTTCTCCTGAGGCAAGCTCCAGGCCCCACAAGCCTCAAGTGGCATTTGCTCAAGGGCCAGCAAACCTGTGCTTGGCCAAAGGACATTCCAGGACTCCAGGAGGGCCAAAGGACCAAAGGCAAGTCCCAGAGGGAAAAGGAGGCACTGGAATGTAAAGTGGACATGGCCAGGCTCAGCTTGCAGGTGGATCCCAGGGGGATGAAGCAATGCTGGGAGGCAGAGCGGGACATGGCTGGGCCAGGCCTTAACCCTGAAGCCTTCAGGCCTCCAGGCTGCAACAAGTCTGGGGCACAAGTCCTATGAGGAGAGGCTGAGGGAGCTGGGGTTGTTTAGCCTGGAAAAGAGGAGGCTCAGGGGTGACCTTATCACTCTTTACACTTCCTGAAAGGAGGTTGTAGCCTGCTGGGGGTTGGTCTCTTCTCCCAGGCAACCAGTGACAGAACAAGAGGACATAGCCTCAAGCTGTATCAGGGGAAGTTCAGGCTGGATATGAGGAGGAATTCTTCAATTCAGAAAGGGTGATTAAACATTGGAATGAACTGGCCAGGATGGTGGTTGCAGAGTCACCATCCCTGGAGGTGTTGAAGAAACGACCGGACGAGGCACATAATGCCACAGTCGAGTCGACCTGGTGGTGCCCGGTCATAGGTGGTTTTTCCAACCTAATTGAGCCTGTGACTCTGTGAGTCGCTCTTCCCAGCAGAGGGCGCCGGGGGGGGGAGAGGGCCGCTCCACGTCCCGCGGGAAGCGCCGCTGTCCCGGCGCGCGGGCAGGGGGCGCTCGCGGGGGGAGAGGGAACAGGAAACCGGGGGCGGGCCTGGCGCGCGGGCCTCGGCGGCGGCGGCTCGCCGCTCCGCGCATGCGCAAACGGGGCGGGCGCGGCGCTCCGTAACGGCGGGCGGGGGG